GGGTCCACATTAAATAGGAAGTTCTCTATAATCTCTTCCTCCGACCACTGACTCCGGCTGGCGTGAAGCTCCCACTTCTCCAGATATTATGTGATACCATAACCCCTGAAGGTAGGAGGCTCGGAGGCCTTGTGCGTAATAATATAGCGATCCTTGCTCTCGTAAGGGAGTGGATGTGACTCCCATGTCTGGGGGTCGAAGACTCGCCTGGGCGGAGCCCTGTCTCTTTCTCTGTCCCTCCAATAGGAATCCCTCAAACTCTCTCTCCAGTCGTCTCTGTGCCTATCAGCTATGGTGTCCCTCCGCTCGTACTCGGGGGAGCGTCGCCTCGTCGCTTCTCGTCGTCCGCTCAAGGTACCCGTCTTTAGAGCCTCCTGCGGCTCTGTCGCAACTGGTTCGCCCCTCATATCGGACCCTCCGTCATTAGTTTGGTCAACCCATCTCAACGGTGCTTCTCGCCTAATTCGTTCCTTCAGATCTCTCAGAGCTCGATCGGGCGATGTCCTGTACTCCTCTCCCGCTTCGCCCGCGATCGGTTGTGGCCCCATCGTGTCGGGTTCCATTGGACCGCCTGAAGACGCAGTTAGATATCCTAGCCAACTGTTACAGCCCGATCCTACGACAGTCGTTGCAGCCCGGACCTGTGACACATGCGGCAGCCCGGACCTGTGACAGATGCGGCAGCCCGGACCTGTTTTCTTGTCATGGCTCGCGTCCGCCTCCAAACTTAGCTCTCGACTGCCTTGGTTACCACTCCGAGTATCCGGTATCCCAAACCTAACCAATGACTCCTGATCGACACCCCTCAAGAGTCTCCGAGCGTCTATCTCCGTCCTCCTTGCTAGTTCTCCTAGCCGTGTCCTGAATCGGTTAGCCCGCTAAAGGCCCTCCTACTGCCATCCAAAGTCGCCCATCGACCTTTCTAGCTTCCACTATCCTTCCAAGAGCTTCCAATTTCTATTTCCACTCTCTTATCTCCCAGACGGCTACGTGGTCATCTGTCTAGCAGCTGAGGTAAGTTAGTGCTATAACCACTTGTAACCTCATCGCCGACGGCTCCAATATGTCATAAAATGTCTCAAAGTCCTCCTCATCTCCACCATCTTCTATGGCCTCTAAAGTCTTTATCGTCTCCTTCCAGTACCGATTGTGAGCAGCTAGCACCCTAAGTATGGCACCGTCTGTTACAACTCTCCCTAACTCTCCAGCTTTCCTGGCTTCGCTTATCTTCAACCTCTCAGCCTCTCTGGTCGTCTCGTACCATGCCCTTATCCGCGACCGCCCTTCAAAGGGTGTTACTCGGAGTACGTATTTTATCCTTCGTCCTCTCTCTATTCCAATCCAAAGTCCTGTCCCCCTTGCTTCACGCAGGGCGCGGCGGACACACTCTGCCTCCTCAACTATGCACAGTCTGGTATGGAGCTGGAGTTCTACGATCACTAACACCAATGGTCCGTCCAGTCTCCCTACCAGATGCAATGAGTACCGATCCGTCGTGTGTACTGTTGTCTCGCTCATGTCCTGTCGATACTCCCCCGCGTTACTTTGTCTTCTGTTGTCTCGCTCTCTGCAGATCGCTTACTAGTTTCTTCGCGTGATACGCTTCTAGCCTTTACCTTCTCCAAAAAGTATGATCTCCACGCCTGGATAATCTCTCTCTCCTCCCTAAACAGACTCTCTAACTCTCTCGTCACTAGTTCAGCCCTTCGCAACTTGCCCTCGTCTTGACACGACCAGATCTCCCTTAACTTGTTCCCCAACTTCTTTACCTGGTTCAAGATTGGTTCTTTAACGCGCTTTCTCACTCTTCCGACTGCCTCACTCTCCTCTTCCATACTCAGTCCACATCCTTCTCCAGCTCACCCTCTCATCCTCGCTCTAGCCTCCGCTACCGTCTCATCGTGGTAGTGCTCCGCGCGCATATAACCATGAGACCATATCATCACATCATAGGAAATCGAGGTCTGGAAGGTCACTCGCGCCAGTACATCAGCTCTACGCTTGTGGATCAAATCCCTAGCTCGTTGTCTGCACTCACTCGCCGTCAAGTCCTCGTCTACGTACGCTCGGAGAAGTACTGTCACAGTGTATCCTATGCTTACCAGTTGCTCTTCTACACGCATCACCGTGGCCGTCCTTCCCGGCATTCCCTAAGCTGCGACCTCGAAGAGAAATCTCGCGTCCTCTAGCCCCGCGTAATCGATCTCTGCCCGTCTCCTGCAGTACCTAATCAGATCGATAGGCCTCGGACAGTCCACCCATCTCGTAACATCTATGATGTCGTCAAGCGTCTCTCTACTGGGCGGCCCCCACCTCACACAAATAGCGTAGTATACTTCCTTGAAGCGGGGCGCTAAACCCTCCCAGAGCGCGTAAAGTGTGTGATCCACTGCTCTCCTCAAACGATCCACGCTCCCATAGGTCTGCTCTATCACGAAGGTAGGAACTCCGAATCGCCAATCCTTTCTCGGGTAGAGGGTCGGATGTGGTGGACCGTATACCAAGCAGCTCCTACTCGTCCTCCCTCCAGAGAGTCTCGCTAATTGCCGATTAACGATCACTCTGGCCAACAACTCGCTTCTCCACCAACTCCTGCTCGCCCCTGCGAGCGTTAGCCCTATCTCAAAATTGTGTGTTCTATCCGCTATTAGATGTCCGACCCCTTCAAGATCATAAGTCCTCTCGGGTCGTTCGTCACGTAGTATCACTGTCCATAGGAAGAGCCCCTCTGTGAGCCACGTTCCCAAGTATCGTATCGGTACACGCCCTGCCTCTTCTAACGCCACAGGAAGTGGTATGTCGTATCCAACCGCCGTCTCTCTGGGTCCCACAAGCTTCCTCA